TTTCTTTTCCATGAAAACTGATAAGCTTGGAGCTGGCCTAGAAAGAGTGAAAGTAACAGTACAAAAGTGATCTGAGGCCTCAGAAGGAATCATAATGCTGGCCTCCAAATAAAAAGGAGTTTTGTCCCTGCCCCAGATGTCCCATTATATTCCAGAAAAGGAAGGCAAAGAAAGAACAAGTGTACAGAAGACCATGGCCTCAGACCTGGTGCTATCCAGCAGCTCAGTGGCACACATAGAGGAAACCATGCAATCTTACCAAACTGTAAACTCCTCAATGTCTGGACATTGAGAACACCAGCTTTTACTCCACATTCTATTATCAATGCCAAATTTAGGTGATTATATTATAGCTGATTTTTATAATAATAAGAACTAGGTTCCCTCTTATTTCCAGAGGTCTTCCCTGATATCTGCTACTACAGAACTCTGTCAACATTATTAAGACTCAGTGACACTGTGTATACTACAAGAGATGGCAGCTTCCATGTCATCTAGTTGCCTTCCTTGTTTGTGCAAGATGTTACACACACACACACACACACACACACAGACACACACACACGTTTCTCCCTCATCTGGAGACCTTCTTCAGAAGTAAAGGACGTTCTTCATCTCCAGACATAATCAAATGTTCAGTCACTGAGCCCTTCTCTTTCCACAGTTAAATAAAATATGCCCCTTCCCCTTACTTCCACAAAAGGACCAAATCCAACTGCTTCCCCAGATATACCAGGAGTAGAAACTTCACCTTCTACAGGCAGGAAAGCAGACACCACTGTGAGATCTTCTGAAGATAATCAAAAAAAGGATGCCCACCTCATCATTGTCTTTGAAGGTCTTGCATGGCCAAAGTAAACTTGGGAAAGACCATGAAGAAGAAAATAGCCTTCATGACCAAGATGTCAAAGTGTGATTTAAGTGCCAGTAGATTCTTACACTGACAGTATAAGTTGTCAGTCTCCATCCTTCTTGACTATTTTCTTCCATTGAGCCCACTGACACATCATCTTCACTGTCAACCACTCTTTGCTAAGGTGTAAACTGATAACAAATTAAGATTCTTCTGCACTCCAGTTATTCCCCTGTCTAAACAGAAGAGCTTTATAGACGGTTATGTTAACCATAAATACTCCAAGGATTACTCTCCAGAGGAATAACATACCTTCTAAACAACAAATCACAAAAAGTGGAAATTTATTTATTTGGCCAAATCTTGAATCAAGTACTGAATTCATCTTTGTACATTTCCCTTATCAAGCAACTGTACCAGGGCAGGAAAGACTTGCCCTTTTGAATAAATCATTTCACTCCTTCCAAAACCAAGCTGCTTTCTTGCCAACTATAACCTATATTCAAAAGCCATCTGCTTTAGCGATTCAGGAAGTCACATAGGGGGTGTGCTTTAGATAATCCTATGGCTATGCTGGCCATGGCTGCTTCTGGAGAGGGAAAACATGCTGCTAGTTGCCAGCTGTAGTCCCCAAGCTCAGCCCTGCTGAATCCTGTACAATGCACCGAGTAGAACTAGGGCAAATATCACTGACTTGGTCAATAAGAGATTCCTTTCCATATGTCCAGATTAATAGACAGGATGTCAGAGGAGACTCTAGGGTCACACAGTCTGTCCATTATGTGGGTCACTAATATCCCCACCTGAAAGGGATACATGAAAATTTAAAAGCCTTATTTGATCCAGTGCCAGCAACAAGCCAATGATGGCACATGTATGCCATGTCAGTTGAGGCATGCATTTCATTTTAATTTAATCAGACACTTGTTGTACTGGAACAGACAACATGAACAAAGGTGTTAGCACCACCATGACATCTGGGGTTGAGTATTCTTCCAAGATTCAAAGCTGTTGTTTTGCTTATTTTATGACTTTGATTAGCAGAGCCACCATATCCTGAGCTGTTACCTCATACGATGACCATCCAGTTTTGCTTAATTGTTCTCTTCACTTGGGAAAGTGTCATCCCTCTCTCACTCGAATCTAAGACGAAAGGCTCAGGCTCCATAAAGTGTGCTCTGACCACATACTACTGGACATAAGCAGTTTTCCCAGACTTCTAGGAATTACATATAGTGTCCTATAACCCAGTTCATTCAAAATCACTGTAGGATCCTTTATGACAGTCAACCTAGATTTTTAAGTTTATCTGCTTTAATCTACCTACAGCATTTTTTAGAAAGCAAATCCAAAAGAAAAATGATATCCATTAAACATAATTAGTAAGATTTAATAGAACCATTTTTCTATCTCAATGACTTCTTAATACTCTAAGACCCCAAGTTTTTTCCCTAAATTGGGATTCAGAGCTTTAAGTTAATGGTATATATTAGTTGTTCTTTGCTGTTCATACAATAACTGTGTTATTAAATTGAAATCAAATGTATATCTCTGGGCAAGTTCAATTTAAGCAGCAACTCTCAGAAAAACAGAGATAAAAATAATTAGAGCAAGATCATGCATGGCCAAGCAAGGGAAAGAATGGGGGCAGACACTGTGCTAAAAAAAAGCAAGGGACACTACTTTCTGAAAGAACAGAATATACTCAAAGGTGCAAGTTTTGGCAGAAGCTCCCCTGAATTTCTTATGACATCCTACCCTACAAAAGCTATTGATGAGGAGCAAAATACAATTACAATTTCACCATAATCAGAAGCGCTTAGAAAATATACATGCTGCCCTTTTTTCCCCCTGGAGAATATTTAACACTTAGATAGTGTTAAAAAAAATCCTTTCCAACTATCAAGAATGTTACAGTGGGTGTGGGGTTGTGCGTATGTGTGTAAATACACTGTTGCTTGAGTATTCTTCAGCCTCTTGACTTACTTTATTCTTTCCCCTTCCCCTCCACCCTTCCTCCTATTTCTAGGACAAGACAAGTGCTCTGAGCCTCAGCAATGTGGCAGGCGTGTTCTACATCCTGATTGGAGGACTTGGACTAGCCATGCTGGTTGCCTTAATCGAGTTCTGCTACAAATCCCGTAGCGAGTCCAAGCGGATGAAGGTGGCATCGTCTCCCCAGGCCTTTTTACTAACCTGTTCTATGATACAACTGGGTTTCCTGGGAGTCCCTTGGCTGCAAAGGGTGGGGAGTAAACAGGGATTCAGAGAAGGTTAAGACAAGAACCAAAAAGCAAATAGGAGGAAGGAGACAAGACAGAGACGCTCATGAGAAAAGAGTGATGGCATGCATATTATAGCAAAAGTAAGAGCACAGAAAACAATGGGTCAGCCAGAGATAGACCAACAAGATTAAAGGTTGGGGGTTGAATGACAAGGATACAGATATATGTCTCCAGTGGGAATTTAGATTAAATTTTCTTCACAGCCTCATGGAAGCTAATCATGTGACCAACCCCATAAGCAAAACAGAGACGCCTGAGATGTAACTTGTGACCTTCAGGAAACCTTAGAATTTCAACAAAGAGGAGGAGAAAAATTATTCAATAAGTTAGCCTATGGCACAGATGGGAAGGCCTGTAGGAATTTAATAAAGGAGATATGGTAAAAGTCTTCTGAAAAGAGGCAAAAATTAAGAGCAAATGGGATTCAGACTAAGAAAAGGAGAGATGCACAGTCACCAGGCAGGGTACCAGAATTGGCATGTTAGCCTGCCCTCTACCTTCCATTGCCAGATTAACAAAATCCATTAGTACAGCTTATTTCCTAGAATTGTACCCACCAAGAAGCACACTTCTCAACAAATTTTCCCAGGCTCAACAGCCTGCTTTTGGATCACAGTGTAGCCTGCTTCCAAGTATCTCCCCATCTTGGGCTACTGGTCGGTCCTGTTCATACCTCCAAGGTCACCCTCGAAGAAGACATCTCTGGGAATTTGCACCCCATTTGACAACTCTGTATTCAGTTCTGTTCTTGGGTAGAGGAGAGAGCCTTCTGGCTTGGCATTCAGACCGTCCATCCTGGCATTCAATATTTCCACATCATGGCTACAGCCTAACTTCTCCATCATCCCACCTCCATCCTCCCACCTCCAAGCAATCTGTTCTCCTCAGATACTCCTGCTGCATCTACCCATCTCTTGCTCCCCACTCAGGTACATTTATGTAGGCCAGTCTCTTTCGCTGTCTTCTGTCCCATACAGTCCATTTAAAATGCAAATTCCCCTGATATGGAACCACTGAGAGACGACAGCATGATGGCATTTAGTCAGGGGACCTAAGAATGCCTAGGTCCTAATCTTGAACAGTTCATCAACCTCCAATTCCTCACAGAAAAGGAATAGGATCTATATCGTAAGTCCATTCTAGATATACAAGGAGTAGGGCTGAATAGAGCAAAGAGGCCTACCACTTACACAAATTTTCTTTTGATGGTTACATCTAAAACGTAAGCCTAAAGTCATCCAATGGCAAAGAGGAGGACAAGACAAGAGCTAGGTTAACTATGATTTTAAAATACCCCAGAATATTCCCCAATGATCATAACTCTAAAAACAAAACAGAGTTGTTCCAAGACAGATGACAACAGTTCTTCTTACCACTGACCTTGGGAACAGTGCAACATAGTGGTCTAGGGAACTAGCTCTGGAAACAAGTGGGCATAAATCCCATCACTCCGTTGTTACCTGTGTCATTGTAGACAAGTTTTACTGAGTTCCTGAGCATCATTTTCTGTTAGATGAGGGCCACTGCAGTATATAACCCATAAAATGAATGTGAGAATTACATGAAATAATGAATAAGGGTGTGGCAAAATGGACCACAGGAAGCCCCCTATAAATAACAGTAGTAATGATCATAACTATCATTTATGATAATAACTGAGATTATTGGTGCTCAGCTCCATCCTCCTTTAGTATTTCACTTTCTTGTCTTCACTTACATGTGTTTTCAGTTATATACACAGATTTCTCTAAAATAAGAGGCTGGGTGGGTCTGAATTTTTTAGATATCCCAACAAACCTGGGGTAAGTATTAGTAAAATTAATGTGCAATTTTACCCAAAGGATATGATCTCTTGAAGGATGAAGCAGGATAGTGGAGGGAACTGCTCTTAAGTTAAGCAGATAATACCACCAAAACCACTTATTCTGGGAAGTACAGACAATACCAGCCAATGTAATTATGGCCCAATCTGATAATGCTTATAAAATATGATAGGATCAGATACCTACCAAGCAGAAAACTTTCTGGACACTCAGCTCTTCATCTGAAATGATAATGACTCTTCTAATCATGAGTAGGAGTACAAGGCAAAGGAAGAAACAATTAAGCAGGGGAAGAGAATTCCCAGCAAAGAATGCGCAAATGTCAGAAACCCAAAGACTAGAATTCACTTTCAGAAATGAAAAGAAGGCCAGGAAGTCTGGGACATAGAAAGACTGAGGAGGAAGTGTAGCATGTGACAGTGGGAACTTCAGAGAGGAATTTCAGGCAGCCCAAAATATTTGATAAACTGTCATGCCATTGAAAAACACATCTTCTGAAGCACATTCCAAACTGAAGGCAGTTTCAAGCATCCTGTCCCTCCCCTGTGCCAGGGTAAACACAGTGAAACCTGTGTTCTCAGCTGATACTAACAACTTAATATTACTCCTTATTACTCACCACCTTACTCCCCAAAGGAATAATCTCCAGTCTCTCCTACCTCCAAGAGAGCTACTGACCTTTCAAAATTATATGTGGTTATGTTATATGGGTTTAAGCAAAACAACTGAGAGGGTGCACATCTCTCTGGGATTAATGAGTAGTTCAACCACTGGTTAACACAGGGGGAGGACCCTCCACAGCAGATGGTCACTGAGGTTTATCGTGCTGAGAGAAGCCATTACTAAGAGATTTGAGCTTTTATTGGGATGTTATTTGACATGCAGAATCTGGGAGGAACAGGTGGCTGAGAGATTAGGGCATTATCACTCTTAGAGAAATGAATCTTCAAAGAACCAATCTAGAAGGTTTCGAAGTTGAACCTTTCGTTCACCCTTTTTTCTTTGAGTATCAGTTTCAAAACAATAAAAGAGCAACTTTTGGTTGTTAGATTAACTTTAAGAATGACTGGTATGTCTAGGAGGGGCAAAAGAGAAACACATTTCTGAAAGGTAGTGGCAGAACACTGGCTTATAACAGCTTAGCTGCAGCACCTAGAAAGAACCGTATTTAGACAGTCATCTGCTCTGTCACTAGGTCCCAAGTAACTGTTGTTCTCAACAAGCCAGTCAAAACTCATTAGTTTCTCTGTACAGTGAATAGAATGAACAAGATCACTGTGGTTAAAATTCCCTTGCAGTTTAGAATCACCTGGGGAGCTTTTAAAACAGAAGTCCATCCACACCTATTAACTCTGAGCATATGGCCAGGCATCAGTTTTGTTTTTTTTTCCCTAAAACTCCTTGGGTGATCCCAGTGTGCAGTCAAGCTTGATATAATTGATTTTTAGCATCATTTTACACCCTAAAGGGTTGACTCTCTTCATGTCCCTCCCTGAGATTCCATAAATGTACTAGAGAGGAAACTAGAATACAGAGTCACTGACCATTGAAAAACACTCAGCTTCCTTGTAAACCAATATTAATTACAGAAGCTTAGAGGGTTTTAGTTACACGCCCAGCTAAGATAGTTGACTTCGGTAGGCACCAGTGTCAATTATGATGTCATTCCTGATCTTTAAGACAAATTCATAAAAAATTACCAATTTCAATAGATTGTGTGAGTCTTGTGAGATTTAGATCATTACAAAAAAAGATTATTTATTTGTGACTGCAAGGTCAGATTTACAGAGAGAAGGAAAGACACAGAGAAATATCTTATATTTGCTGGTACACTCCCCAAGTTATCATAACAGTGGAGCCAAGCCAATCCAAAGCTAGGAAGGAGTCAAGAGGTTCTTCTGGGTCTCCTACATGGGTGCAGGTCCTAAGTTTTGATGCCATTCTTGGCTGCTTTGCCATGCCACAAGCAGGGGGCTGGAAGGGAAATGGAGCAGCCAGGATACGAACTGGTGCCCATATGGGATCCCAGCACATGCAAGGCAAAGACTTTAGCCACTAGGCTACCACATCCAGCCCTAGCTTTTTTTTTTTTTTAATTAAAAACATATGGAAGAGAAGATTCACGAAGGATTGGCATTTCAGTCTATTTCCCATACATACAAATAAGGTGCTATTTCCTTTTCATTATTCCTTTAGGTAGCAAAATAACCATTAATTCTTCATGTTTTCATTTTACATTTCCCCCATGAACATCACATGGTATTTATTTCAAAAGATCACAATTCAGGTCACACTTCCTCTTCAGTAGAAGACAGCCAAGCAAGAATATAAATAAACCATGTTCTGGGATATATGGGGGAGACAGAACAAATGTGGGTGGAGCATCATATGAGGCCTATCTACCTGAATCATGGGTTTGAAAATGAGAAAATATTTAAACCTTGTCAAAATTTCCAGTCATAAAGGGATAATAGAAAAATCAAAATTCTAATTAAAACTGCCCTGTTGATCTCTGCCTGGTCAGAGTCGATTTACTGATCACTCAGATCATTAAAATCATGGTAATATTCAAGGGACAAAAACTTAGACTTTTTAAGAAGGATCTTAAAGTGGCTCATTTTTCTTAGACTAATTTCAGGGTAGCCACTGAACATCATGCATACAGTACACATACTACACACCTTAGGGAAAGCTGAACACCAACAAGAGAAGCCCTTTCTAATCCATAATATAGTTGGTTCTCTTAAGGAAGACAAAATGCATATAACTGAGGCAGAATCATTCTAAGCATTTTCAGATACTTCCCTATGAAGCTTTTTGGGAAGAAGTCAACTTGAGGGCTAAGCTAAATTTGGAGTTATTTGAATAATAATATATTAAAACTTTTTTTTAAAACACTTAAGACAGAAGCTGGCATTATGGCTGATGAAACTGCCACCTGTAATACTGACATTAAAAAAATAATAATGTACTGAGAAGTACTAAGAAAGGCCAAGACAGTAGGCTGCTGTAGTCTAAAAAGACTTCAAGAAGGAGATAGAACAGAACAGAACCTGTCTTGAAGAGAGATGGCCTTAGGGAAAGAAAGAGTCAACTCAAGTGATCTTCCTTTCTTCTGATTCCCACTAAAAAACTGAGCCACACCTCAAAAATTTTATGACTTTTTTTCAGTGGAAATTAGAGATGAGCAGAAGAGCTAAGAGTTTGTATTTCGTAAGTCTCTTTCTCCAAAGGAACTCTGAACAGAACTCTTCCTCTTATCTAATGGTTCTAGAACTAGTTTTTGGCCATGGGTATTCCATAACTCTTCTGATACTGAAATGATTCTTGGATCCTTTTTACAGCCAGAATTCCAACATTCTAGAAATATAAGCTTAATGGCACTGATCTGACATGCCAATCTATATAGGCATGTTATAGATGTGGATAGGAAGCAAGTGACACACAAATGATGATGTTTGGAATATATTTGCAGTTTCCCAAGCACACTTTGCAAATTGTTGTAATCAAATGTTTCTTTTTTATTTATATAATGTAGACAAATTCCACATATATCACAACTCAGATTTAGCAGCTCAGTGCTACTTCCCATCCTGCCCTCCCTTCTGCCTACATTCCCCATCCAATCTCCTCCTTCCTTACTTCTTTTTTTTTTTTTTCTAGTTTTTACACTTCACAATCTCAGGTTTAAAACTCCACTAGATAAAGATATCAACACATGCAAGTAGGAAATATTAACAAAGAACAACAACAGCAACAATAAAAACAAAGAAACAAAAACTCTACTATTCCTGAGAAGTATAAACAAAACCTATACACAATAATCAAATCCTTGAGTGTCACTCTTGCTCCTACAGATATTTACTCTGTGTGTTAGTCATCACAGATCAGGGGAAACATAGGATAGTTGTCTTTTGGGAACTGCCTTATTTCACTAAGGATAATGGTTTCCAATTACATCTGTTTAGTTGCAAAAGACAAGATTTCAAATGTCTCTTGTATCCCCTTAACTATACTGTAAAAGGCAGGAAAATTCCAGAAGGGAATTGAAAATAATTGTTTCATTATTATTATTTTAAACTACCAAAAACACACCTTTAATTTTACTTAACATGTCAAAACACGTTTAATGTAGTAACACTATCTCACTATTGGAAGTCTGTAAGAGCATAAATGATCACACTTGATAAACACAGAGATACAAGAGCTCTGGGAAAATGAGGAAGTATGCAGAGGGTCACAGAAGTAGCTAATATCTGAACAAGAACTGGAATCCAAAATCCATTCCCCAAAATGCTTCCACTTGATTGTGCTGCTACACTTATTATCATTAACACCAAGAAACATTCTACCTTTTGAAATCACAAAATTTAAGAACCAGAAAGGGTCACAGAGCACAATTTGCACAGTAAACCTCGTTAAACATTAAACGTGAGGCCCAGAGAGTATCAGATGTGTCCAGAGCCATTAGTTTTGTGAGTTCATAGGAAGAAAGTCAAGCAAAGAAGTTCTTTGCATAATAGGGATGGTGAGTTGGGCTACACCAAGAAAGCCAGTTTTGATACATACCCTTTGTCAATCATTGCCAAGGACCCGGGGAAGAACCCCCGGTCCTCCTGAAAAGGGTTTCTGTTTGATCCCACAGCAATCCATCAACGAAGCCATACGGACATCCACTCTGCCACGGAACAGCGGAGCGGGAGCCAGCGGAAGCGGCAGTGGAGAGAACGGCCGGGTGGTCAGCCATGACTTCCCTAAGTCCATGCAATCGATTCCCTGCATGAGCCACAGTTCAGGGATGCCTTTAGGAGCTACAGGATTGTAACTGGAGCAGATGGAGACCCCATGGGGAGCAGGCTCAGGCTCCCCTAGCCCCATCCCAAACCCTTCAGTGCCAAAAACAACAAAATGAAACAACCACCAACAACCACCGTGACCACAAGGAGGATGATTCAACCAGTTTTCTTGAGGAAATGAAAAATAATCTTGTTGTCCCTTTTCCTTTGATGTTCTTTCACCCTTTCGCATTTGCTAGGTGAGAATGTTACATACACTGTACTGCAATAAGGGGAGAATAACCCTGTGTACTGAAGCATGTGGCTCTGAAAATGGAGTCACTGGCACATTAATGAGGAAACTGAACTGTTTTCTTTCAATTCAGGTGTTAATGTGTGTTGTTAGCGTATGAAGTTTTTTTTCTTACTAATATCCATGGGTTGCAGTTCTGTTATCCCTTCTTCCTTCCTTCTAATTCCCAGTTCCCTACGTATCCCTCTTCAGTTTTCAGATTGGAAATTCAAGATTCCTTCCACCTTATAAGCAAGCAAAAAGGAAAAAAATTAACCTTCAAACTAAGTTGCCATGGGAGCTCTCCATGTTCACCTCTACTCTCTGGCCCCAAAACCTTGGATGGAGATTGTTGGTGCCTCCCACTGATGAGGCATTGCCTAAAACACTGATTTAGCCAACAACACATTAGCAGCAATTCAGACTGAGTGTGGTGGAGAGGGAAATGGCAGGTGAGCAAAGGAGGACTGATGAAGTTACGGCTGCTCAGAAAATATTAATGCGTTAGTGTCATTTCATAGGCCACAGGTGGTATGATGTATTTCTTCGCAAGTTCAACTTTACCCCTGAAAAGTATGTCCTGTTATTCTCAGTATCAAAGACACTCTGATGACTAAATGGCAACTGACCTACTGACCTAAGAAGAACCTTGGGAAAAAAGCACAGCCAGGGAGAAAGACCCCATGACTCTTAATTTTTTCCTTTTTCTTGACATCTGAGCAAGAACCCCCATGTGGAGTAGACTCTCTTTGTGGCACCTCTGACATGGGGGTAAATGCTATGCAAGCTCAGTGCAACAAACAAAAGTGATGGAAGAAATTTTGGAAGAGGAAGCCTTATCAAAGCCCACATGCAATAGAGTTTTTCCTGGTGCCCTGCCCTAGATTTGAGACACTAACTATGAAGTTTAGTGTATTCTGAGGATCTGGGTTTTTATGTTATTATTGAATGTTATTTCAGCATGTGCCAGGCAACATTCTATCATCTTCAGAAAAAAATACAAGCAAAGCTGAAATATTTGACAAAGGCTAGGGAGACAAAATGTGGTGATAAAGACATTGGAGGACCTTAATATCCCTGTACTTCCGTACCTAGGAAGCTAACCTTCCCCCTGGCTAAGGTAGAAGACACTGTTTTTGAATCACCAGAAACAGTAAGCCCATACTTGTGACTGCAAAATTGAACTTAAGCAAGATGGAAGAAGCAAAGGATTCATGAAAGAAGCTCAGGCTGACTTAGTTGGAATTGGAAGTTCTTGGCACATAGCTTTTTATGGAGATCCCAACTCTCATTCTTGGTGCAATTGGCTTACAGCTCTCCAGCAGCCATTCTCTTAAGTGCATGATTCAGTGCGTGCCATGTGTCAAAAGCTCTTATTGATAACCATCTTCTGGCTTGTCCTTTCCCTACTCCCACTTCTATTCAGTCTTCTCTGCTAGTGGTTATCATTAGCAATTGGCAAGATAAAGGTTGTGGAGCCTACCTTGGGGTAGATGCAGCATGACTGGCTTCATTTGTGAATTCTCAATGGACACCCACATTGTCTCTGTTTCTCCCATTCTCTTTCCATCACCATAACAAAGAACGTTTCCAAACACCAACTCTTTACCCTTCCAACTCAAGTATTGTTCAGTTTCTCAAGTGTCAACATGGGCATGGTATGTGAAGCAGGACCCTCAAGGTGGATCATTACTTTTTACTACTGCCAACTGATGCCGCACTCCATCCCTTGCCCTCATCCTAGATTTTTCTCAGCTCTTAGCCTACCACCATAGAATCTGATATGACTCTCCGTTAAGGAATCTGCACTTCAGAAGAGTTGGAAATAACCCTCTACCATCAACATGCTTCAAAAACCTTTTGCCTTTGGCCTGGTAAGATGCCTCTCGAATTGCTGAGCCCACCAATAAAATAATCAGATAGGGAGAGACTGCACTTGAAATGAGGGTCTACGCCATGCAGGGGGGGTCCAAGACTCCGGCAGAAGATATTTTTCATCAACAGAGGGGTGAAGGGAAAAACAAAAGCAAGAAAAGAATTAACTTGTATTATGTATTTTTACTACACTTTTCTTAAAAAAGGAGCATTGGGAAAGCTCTGAAAGAAATTGACATTTTTCTCAACAGGAATCCATACTTAACAGTTCTGGCTTTCATTAAATTTTGCTCTTTGGTACCTGGGCCTTTTATTTAACATCTATATTTGTTTTAACTCTCTTGGCAGATGTGTGAAAGGATTCTTGCTTAATCAAACACTAAATATTTTTGATTCCTGTTTTTCGTTCAGATAGCCAGGATTTTTTTTTTCTTTTGGTATTTGCATACAATGAAAATATCACCGAGAATTAAATCACTGTGGATCCATTATCTACTTTTCATATTTGTCCATTCCATTCTTGTGTTACTTCCAAAGCTGAGACTCTAGATCTGTTATTTCCTTATGCTGATCCTGAGACAAGTAGGTTTTTAATGGTGACCACTGTGGCTAACTCATGAATAGCTCTCAAGTTATTCCAACTGAACAACAATATTGTGAACTAGTCTTCCTGACAAGATAACAGCAACAACAAAAGATAAAGAGTAGTATTTGGCTTTTAAAGCTCATGATCCCAACTTCACAAAGAACAAGGTTTGACTTGCAGCCATGAATGTGTCTCTAAGGATCTGCATGACTTACAGAGAACATTTCCCAGACACCCCCAAACTAGGTCTAGGTATAATTGTGATTTGCATACAGTCACAGCCGCTCCTAAATAGAGACCAGACTTGTAAGCAGATAACCTTTGTCCTCAGACCCAGGGCCTTCACTTTTGCCTGAAAGTTTATCCTTGCCTCATGCAAGATGAGGTTTTGGAAAGGATCAGAAACCTGTTGAAACTGAGATATTGATTATCAGTAACAACTTTAAGGATTTTATTTTTCAAAGAAACTTGAACATTAACAAATATCAGATAATGTCTTTTATCCATTTTACACCTGTCATGATTAGGTCTAAGTGAAATGAGAGAGAGAACAAGAGGAGAAAAACTTACAGGATAATGTGAAGCTCTAGTCATCATTCACACCTACCTGTAGTCACTGGCAGCATAGATGGTGGCTCTGGGTAAAGGACCATCACACACTAGCTGACAGGCAGAGAAAACTGATTTCTGGTCACCTTATTGCCTGAGAGTTTGGATGATGAACTTAATGCCTATAGTAGCATAGGCTACCATACACTAAGCACATTCTATATTAAGCATGTTTATACCTCTGTATCACAACAATGAATCGCAAAGCAGGAACTTATAAACAAGGAATCTGGGACTTTAAAGTATGACATAGTTTGCTCACAATTGTCTGAATGACAGAGTTGGAATTTGATTGAAAAATGTGTGAATCTAAAGCCTTTACATCTCTAATTGTGTATATCGTCAGTAATCATGTCAGGATGAGTGCTGGTCTGGAAGACACCAGTTAAGCAGTATTCTACCTAACTTTCATGCTAAAGTCGCAGAAAACGGAATGGTTTACCGAGATATCTGCTGCTAGTTCAGGAAATCCTATCTATCCACTGAAATGAAGAGATTACTAATCCAAACCAAACTGCAAAAGAAGAAGGAAATAAGTCCCACTTTTTAGCTCCTTTAAAATATTTCTATGCTATGGAGCCACTAGCAGGTTGAAGACAGTATTGAAAACCATATCCCATGAAGAATAGTTAATTCAGACAAGAAGGATCCAAAAGGCCAGCATGGAACAGAGATATCCTATTCTGTATCAGGGAGCAGTACTTGGAATTACAAGGAAACAGATTTGAGTTGAACTAATGCAAAGTAACCTCACAACAGAATCAGATTTCCCTGGAGTTAGAACAAGAGCCTGTCAAGTAGGCTCCAGTACGCAAGCAAGTATAAAAATCAAATATATATCCTCCAATTTTATCAACCAGATTCTTATAATTTACAAGACCATTAACTTGATGTCCTATAAGTTAAGCAGTGAGCAGTAGGGTGTAGAAATATTAAGCTGATGCTTTTTCTTGGATCTTTCTTATCCCTACTGTTCATGTTGTCGAATGGGCACTAAAATCGGGTATCAAAGCGCTGAAGAAATGGGCATAGATACATTCTAGTGAAATAATGCCAAAAATCAACTTGTCATAAATAAAAGATGAAAAATACATTCCTTATAAAAGGTTCATACACTCTCTAGGAAAGAATTCCTATCTCACTCTGTGTAACAGACTAATAGAGTTCTTGAAGAAGCAAGTTTACTAAAGTCACACCGTAGGTAGAAAACCAGTACAGGAAAGGGCAGTAGAGTAAGCCTCACAGAAGCTGGCTTCTTCCCCTAGATGTTGTCCAACCTTTCAAGCTTAGACAAGAAAATGAACTAATCTGACCCCAATTTTCCTCACCAAATAAATGTGACATCTAGTCTCAAAATAGGTAGTGATTCTCAACCCTCATTACACATTAGAATTACCTAAGACAGTTTTTTTGGGTTTTTTTTTTTAATGTCTGAATGCCCAAAATATGACTTTAGGTTTAGCTGGTCTGAGATGAGGCATAGGCATAGTTGGAAATTGTTGTTTTGGTTGTTTTTGTTTTTGTTTTTCTAATTCACAAGTAATTCTAATGTGCAGCTAGGGTTGAAAAATACTCATGAATATTTCTTTAAGAATTTTTACAAAGCACCATATTAGGAGTATTTGTCAGTGGCCAGATCAATACCTGAACCTAGGTCACTTAGTGGCATCTACATTTTTCAGCACGATTTCCCCCTCCTTTTGCCCTGGGCACATCCTGCCTTATAAGAAGGTCTATCCAACGATTTATTCTGAAACTCAGGGACAAAGACCGAAAACTAACCCAACCTGGACCTCTGAAAAGTATCTCATTATATGCTTTACAGGAGTCTCAATGACTTAGAGCCTTGACTGCACAAGATAACCCAGGATATGAAACCTCCATGGTCTGAAAAGGGGAAAAAGCCATTTTATTCATCCAATATAAAAAGAAAAAAAAGTAGTCCCAAATTGATCTCTAAATGCTCTTTACCTTTTAGTCATGGTTATGATAATGTAACATTCTACTGGGGAAAAGGAGAGGCACAGGACATCATAGATAAGATAATTGCCATTGAGATGTCTCATCAACAAAGGGGGGGGCTACTTTGTCAAATGAGTCAGACCTCAACCCAGCCAGTTATTTTCCAAACTGGAAAACTACTTGGCTATTTCCATTACAGATACCAAATCCTACCCTAGCATTTCTAATACAGTCTGCTGGAAGACATTTCCCAGCAGCTCTATCCTCCACGGATACCCTGGGTACTAATGGCAAAGACTACTACTTTTCCTTATCAATAATATACTTGTTACTCTTATGATAGACCAAGGAACATAAACCAACTTTTGCTTAGTACAGACTGCATACCAGCTACAAAGCAAGATTTTCAAATGCTTCTTAGTCCTCAAAATAATATCGTGTAGGTTTGTGATTTTTCATCTTCATAAAAGAAACAGAAGCTGAAAGCTCAAGGATATGCAAATAAGAAATTGGTTGGCCTACACTATAACTCAATTCTGTCTCTATCCAAAGTTACCAAATTTCCACATTACTTGATCACCTCCTGAGATTTCACCATGCAAAGGAAAGCATCAGGTGGAGGCATAAAAGGTACAAACTTTACTATTTGCATTGCTATCAATTTGCTTTGTGACCTTGGACAATGTATTTCACCTCTGCAAAAATAAGGAAAGGAGGATAAACTTAACCATTTCTAAGATCTCTTAACTGCAGCTTTCTATTAGTGAATCTCAACTAGTGCTAATTTTGTCCCCAGGAAACACATGAAAATAACCAAGGATATTTTGGATTTTCACAGTTTGGGGAAAGGGATTTATAGGCATTTACTACATAGAGACCATGTTGCTGTGAATCACACTAAATACACAGGGAAGCTTCCACATCAAAGATTTCAACAGTGCTAAGGCTAAGAAATCATGTCATATATAACCAAAACATGCCAAGAGAATGTTTAGATGTGAATAATGGCAAAAAAAAATGGCTGAGTAGCAAGATACAGTGGTGGTAAATCAAGTGGACCATCAGAGAAGACCAACTGTTGCATGAATTTAGGCAAAAATAAATTGAGTTTAGGGAAGTAAGTTGGTATCACAAGTTTAGCCCAGGGCCTAGATTAGGCCAGAGAAACCAGGGCGAGGGATTCAATCAAGCAATCAGTTAACAGTACGGCCAGCACAGGAGATATCAGGGGTTCAGCAAGAACATGTGGTTTATGCACTCATACCCTGGTAAGTCCTGCCAGAACAAGTTCAGAGGCCTACAGGCAAGCCCCACTGTTCCCCAAGAGACTAGATGTAATTTATTTTATGTCAGAATATGTATACTTTTAATAAACATAGATAATGAGCCCCCATGTCCACAGATACGTATCATAAAGAATAAGAGACAAACAGGTGATAGTCAGGAAAGAACAAAGTGTCTGGATCATCTTCCGCATGCCCATCACCATCATTTTCTAAAACCAGGACTCTGACTATAGCATGACAATGACATGACAAGATATTTCAGACCCTGATACCCTTGATTGCATGTTCCTTAAAAATGCAAATCCTGTCCCCTAACTTAGGGCCCTTGCACCTGCTCTTGACTTGACTTGTCAGCCTCATCCACCAGAACTTTATGAGACTGGATCCTCATCACCGATATCTTAATTCAAAATGTCATCTCCTACGTGGGCTTTGAGGCACTGTAGGTTAGATTATAACTTGGGATGTCCTGATCACATTCAGAGTTCTGGTTCACAATCCTACTTCCAACCCAACTTCCTGCTAATGCACCCTAGGAGTAAGCAAATTATAGCTCAAGTCTTGGGCCCCTGACACATATGTGGCGACTCAGATGGAGTTCCAAGCTCCAGCTTCAGCCTCATCCAGGTCTAGCTGTTGTGGATATTTGTGGAATGAGCAAATAAATTATAGAGTTCTCCCACTTCCCCTAAGTAGATAAAATGAACACACTTTTAAAATGCCATCTCCTTCCAATGATATTTTCTCTCACCTCTATCTCAGCTATCTCTGACATCATTTACTCTCACATTACTTATCACCAGCTAATAATGTCTTGTTTACATACTGTCATCCATTTTCCTCTCCCCCTCTCCATCTAGAATATGAATTTTGCAAAGCACTAAAGAGAGTTTAGGAATGTTTGTGCCAAGCACTGCTCTAGGCACTTTCTATAATTCCTCTCATTGCGTCCTGAGAGGATTACTATTCTAGATTTATAAAGAAGTAAACTGAAGCTCAAAGGTGAAAACAGAAATTTAATATCACATTTATATAATTCCTACAACACTGAAAATACTGATAACATATCATAAGGACGCCATTGACACTACAATGGTTTCCAGTGAAATAACCCAGAAGGACACTACCACAGTGAAGAAGACTTTCCTCCTCTG